CTTCTTTTTAAAATTATATTAAATAAACATAACTATATATAAAATTGCATCTAAACGTAGCCTATGTACGTTTCGTTTCAAAGACGGGAGGACAGTAATATTGAACTTGAAGACTCTGCCATAATCCCGTTTTCTCCGGTTTTCCTCCGCTTTAATCTACACAACCGGAAATGGACGAGCATCCTTACGTCAAATGCGGAACTTATGCGTGCATATAGCCCATTGGCGTGACGATAGTTTGCGGCGTGAAGAAAGGTCTTGGTCTTGTTCATTGGTCGTGAAAGCTGTCAGTTAGGGTGTGGGGTATGGGTTATGAGTTATTCTGTTTTAGCAATTCACTTTTCTGCACGCCCCCTACTTCAAACTTCGCAGGTTACAATGTTACACCAGTAGATGGCGCCAAGTGACACGTTTTCAAATCATTTACACAATTTAATCTTTCTAACGAACCAATATGATAAGAAACAAAACTTCTACTGAATTCAGAGCTGCATACTGAGTCTCTTACTATTTTCCCTATATCTTTCTGTGGCAAAAATAGTAAGATTAGTCTGCAAGTATGTGGTTCCGAATTCAGCATTCTTTGAGTGAGTCATTTAATCGTTCATTCAACTGGTTGGTTCAAAACACTGCATTATTCAGTGATATTCTTTATGGGCCTGTGTCTGGGCTTTCAGCTGGTTTTAAAAGGTGAATACCAGCTAAACACCAGCTTGGCCAGGCATGGAGACTGGCTTAAGACCCGATTTAATCGGGCAAAACCAGCAGTGAAGTTCTCCAGCAGTGAAGTAAACTTCTCATTTAGTATGAATGTGGCAACAGCTTTATGAAATCATAAATTAGCTTTATTTTGCACTCAGCAGAATGACTATGGGAAAATATGTTCAGATGAGGAAGAGCACAGCTCCCTCCAAAGGGCTAGGAAGGAATTGCACTGGAAGATTGAGGCGCTTATATAAGTGCTGTATACTTGAGACTGAGAAGATGCTTCTTCAGCAGCACATCTGTAAAAGTGTGGATTGTGTAACCACACTGAGAGTCTTTGTATTTTGTCTTAGGAAGAGAGCTGTGGGATAGTCTCTAGTTCAGGACTATGATGACTCAGAGCATTATATAAACCATAATGTATTCAGCAAAGAGCTTCCACAAACGCATCATAAATCAATCAGACTGGAATAATACTCATCAGAGCTTGGGTCCTCTAGAGCTTTCAAGAGCAACAGAAAACAAGCAAATTAAAATGATGCCACTGAACAGTTGATATGTAAATTGATTCATAGGCCTATTAAAATGTATTGCCATACAACATAAGGATGTAATAAATATTCTAATTGAATGTGTGTAGTAATGCATAGATTTAGCAAGCATTTAGAGGACATTGCTTTGGCATGGAACAAATTATGATGTTGCCTTGTATACTGGTGCAGCTATTTAGGCGATATATTAATTATTCACATTATCTTCATGAATAAATGTATCACTCTTGCACTTTTTTAAGGCTGACTCAGATGAGAGAGTTCAGCATTTTGTTGAATGAATTAAACGCACTTGTTTTCCAGCAGATGGCAGTATGGCTCTTTGTGTCTGTGGTTCAGAGTCATGGCTGGTAATGCTTACTGCGCGCACACACAACTAGGTCCCCAACACGGGATCAATCCCAGAAGCAATCCCAGGTCGTGTTTGCGTTCACACAGAAGGCGTTCTGGCAATTTGCCGGCAATTTCCTGGGATCAACTTGCTGTGTGAAAGGGGCTACACACACACACACACACACTATATACTGTACTGTACTGCCTAAAAGTTTAATTCAGTATGGAAATGTATTTTGGCAGAATCAGATAATGATTCAATAAAAAAAAAAGTTAAAATTACTGCTGATATTTCCATTTAAAGTGGAATATTTTTAAATGATATTTCCACATTTCCCCTGTGATGAAAATCCAGCATTTAATGTTGTTTAGATGTTTATGTGGTGTTTTTAATATTTTTCAAGACAAACCATGTGTAAATTCATAAGTCGACAAGTATTTTCTGCTTAAAACTGCAGTGAAACAAAGACAGTCTCAAAAACACGGTTTGAAATCACCGGTGTTTCTGACGTCACAAACCTTGTAACCAATCAGATCAATGTGACCGTCAACGAGTGGATCTCAGTTGGTGTGAGTGAGTGGAGGCGGGGCTAATTTGCATATGACCTCGAAAACTAAATGAGGCAAAGGTCAAGGATGTTTTCGAGAAAAATCGAAGTTTAAATCAAAGATGAGCTTTAAAGGACAAATTTTTGACAGAGGGACTTTAAAATATCAGGAAGAGTTAATACGAGTTAATTGATGAGGTAATTCGTTAATTTGGAAAACATATTTCATCTGGTACTTTAAGAGTGCAAACAAATAAAATAACAGATTGAAGCATCCCTCAAAAACTATTTATTTATTTGTTCATTTGTTTGTTTAACAGCACGTTTTTATTTTAATTTTTATATATTAATTTTTACCAACAAAAAAAGTTTATTTTTTCACTATTTATTTTCTCTTGCATATTTTTTTATTTACTTATAGCTCATTTGTTTACTTTGCTTAACAACAAAGATTTTCCTAGCATTTGCTTTATTTTTCCAGTTTTAAATGAATAAGTTTCTATTATCTAATATTATTATAATTCATTAATTCTTCTCTCGCCTGTTTTCCTGCTTAAGTTGTTTCTGCAGTGCTTTAAAACACTCTTCTTAAAGTCTTGTTTTTATGGAATATTGCAGTATTTATTATAGACGATTTATCCATTATTTTTTGAATGATTTAGTCTTTAATTAAAATAACTTCCCCTCCCTCTTGCATCTCTTCTCTGATGACGTGTTTACTTGCGTGAGGGCGGGGCAAACTGTCACTCACGAGAGATCCACCAATAGCAAACCGCCCTCCATTTCTTCCAGTTCCAGAAGCCTATCAGAAGACTATCGCAACTTTGTTTCATGCCGACTTCTAAAAGCAGCAGATTGATCAACAACATCAAGCATGTGTTGAAGAGTGACTGTGTTTTAATCACAAGGATTACAAAAGGCACGTTCAATCCCCTGATGCTCCTGTTCCTCCATCCTCCAAACATGTTGTTTCTGCCGTTCATCCTTCAGTAAATGAGCTACAGTGATTGGACGGCCAGTTCTGGGGTTTGTGCTCTGGAATGACAGTGACCCACTTTCCTTTGTATGTCAATATTATGGTCCACAAGTTCAGTCTTTGTTTCTGAATAATCCCTCATTCTTTCCTGTATGTGTCCGTCTCTCAGTGAAACACATTTATCACATGGTGAAGGAGGAGCACTGAACCATCAGAAAACAAGTGTTTAGCTTGAAGCACGGAGGCATCTCTCTCGACATACTGTCCTGATATTGTGAGAGGAGATTAAATGAGATCAAGCCGATTGAATCACTGGGAATCATGTTTTCCCGACAGCATAGGCTACTGATGTGCTGCTGCTGTTGGGAAATGCTTTTAGTAATCTGAATGTTTGTTATCTGGTATTTGTATGATCTTGCAGAAACCTCATATAATAATGAGGTCAAACCCTTTCAAAACACAATGACGGTCTGTGTGCATCTGATGAGAACGGGCTCGCATCTGTCATGATAATTACATTCCTGCCATTTAGCACAATTTTCTACAGTGCTCAAACTAAATTTAAAACTCTGTTAACTCAACTAATTAAACAAATAATACACAAAATAGACTAACTTGACTCAATGTCTTTGGAAATTCATTGCTGGAACATTCATTGATATTCTTTCAAGAGACCTAAAATATATTTAGATTCTAATTTCAGCCCCATATACATTTTTGTATCATATTGTCATATTCCACTCATTATTATTTATTTTTTTAATTGAAAAGACCAAATATTATGGGAGAAATTGGACTATTATGAGATTTGCATCCAGAAATTTTATTTTTGAGCATGCTTATAGTCTCATACAGGAAAGTCAACGTCTGTCGGTCTGTCTATATTAATCGCATCTCTCGGTTTTGCTACAGGCACGAGGCTGCATTTACACTAGAGGTCTTGATGCCCAAATCCGATTTCTGACTATATCCGATTTTTTTGACGACCTGCTTACATCATCTTTTAAAAGTGACCCATATCCGATTTTTCCATTCACACTACACTGCTGAAACTAGCAAATGCAGACGTTCTGGTGGTTCTGAACCGGGAAATTAAGCAAAACAGATATTCAATGGATGCAGATGCGAATAAAATTATCCAGTGTTTTCTTTCCACAATATTTCAATAAAACATTGGTCTCGCCTACGGCGGAGAAAAAAAGAGGAGCTCTGGCCATGAGCACTTAAAACGATGCCTCATATCTCGTGAAATGTCTTCAAAAACGGATTTATTTCTGTACCAACCCTGCATTTTTGCCTGCACTCTTCACCCCAAACACTCAAAAGACATGAAACCTCCGCATTGCTCCACTGTGTGTATCCTTTCTTCCATCGCGCGGCTCGCGCCTATAATCGCGCAGTTTTTAATGACGCATGACTCGCATTTACTGGGGAATATCCGATTTGTCTGCTTACATGGCACACGCAAATGCACGTATCCGATTCATATCCAATTTATTACCACATATGAATGAGGCCTGAATCCGATCCGAGAAAATCGGAATCTATGCGTTTTTTTTCCTGCTTACACGTTCATCATCGGTCATATCCGATCTGTGCCACATGAGAGGAAAAAATCGGATTTGGGTCACTTGAACCATGCAGTGTAAACGAGGCGAGGCGCATCTCAAACAAGCCTATTTTTAAATCAAAACAATCCTGAAGCGCAGCTGCTGATTCTCACTGAACATTCGCTTCTGCCCGTTGCTTTATGCGATTTAGTGTTGCTGTTGTGGACATTTACGATTTTTTGCATCAGCTTTTGATTAGTGTGCAAAGTGTACGATTAGACATCTGATCTTCAGTTGAATCGGTGAATCTGCATTTTCACTCAGTGAACGCTTTTGGTCCAGTTTGCTGTTTTATAACCGTTTGGATCTGTGTTCATTTCCAGATCTGTGTTAGTAGAGTTGAATTGCACTGGTCTGATCTCTATCTGGTTTGAGATCACAACATTTTATTTGATTGTAGGATTTTGGATCTGCATACTATTTTAGATCACAAAATGGATGTCAATCCATCTCGCAAGGTCAGTCATGCACAGACTGCAGAACCTGTGCCTGGAAAGACACACGCAGAAGTCATTGCGACGTTGAGGGTAAGACGGTTTCAACCATCTTTGGTTACTATTAATATTAAGCCTGCATTCATATGTTGGGCACAGTATTAAGGTGTTTTCTTCTTCTTCTGGCTTATCATCAACAGGAGCTCCTCCACCAGCACAGACTGGAGCCTGTGAACTTTTCTCCTATCTATGAAAGAGCCTGCAAGATATTCATGGAATCTGATACTGGTTTGCTTCATTTCTATTCAAAACATCTCACTTGAGTATGAATTCTACATAAGTTCCTTCATAACAACCATATTAACATGAAATAAATGTGATGTTTTATGCAGGATCGTCGCCGTCTTTAGACCCACGAGTTTATTTAGGATACGGCATCAAGGCTGATCAACTCAGGGCTGAAATGTTACGAGAAACACGCCTTGAAGTAAGTGAATTTAGTATTCAGTTCAAATGAATATGATACTTTGAAAATATGAAATATATGCTAGAGCCCGACCGATATATCAGCAGACCGATATTATCGGCCGATATTAGGCATTTTCCAAACTATCGGTATCGGCAGTTATAATGGCCGATAAATGAATAGTTCAAAAATAAAATAAAAACGGACGAAACACGCTTGAACCATGTCATGAGTGTTGGAGTTTTATAGTTTGTCCACCAGAGGGCACTCTACACCGTTCCTATTGGCAACACTTGTTGAGTTGGTCACAATACATACATTGCTTGAATAACAATTAAAAGAACATCCCCATCAGTTCTCTTTACTCAAATAAGCATGAAAAAAATTGTGACTAATCATCTCCAGTTTAAAAAATAAATAAATAAAATATCGGCCGATATATCGGATTGTAAAACCCAAAAATATTTGTATCGGTATCGGCCTTCAAAATCCTTTATCGGTCGGGCTCTACTACATGCTTGTAAATTGTGTGGATTAGGTTTTTCATTTGTGTGTAGCATCTGTAGTCTTTCTGTGAACCTTTCTCTCTTTCACTTTCTCAGTTACATAAACCTTTAATAAAAGAAACCCTTTTTTTTTCAGGCATATTGTTTATCTCAGAAGGATAGTGGCTGTCTTAAACCCGGTCCAAAAGTCCAGAATGCAAAGGCCAAACAAACGTAACTACTTTTCGAACATCGTTAAAAGTTGGTTTGTAAAAAAAGTTTCATTTTATATAGCTCTTCATTTTATATTTCTTCATGTTTCAGGGCTCAGGATGCGAACAGGACACTTTTAAAAAAAGAAGCACAACTTGAAAGGTCAGTAATAAAAATAGAAAAAAACAATAGTACTGACATGCGAATGTTTTTGCATATCCCATTTACTGAAGATACTACTGATAGCATTATCCATATTCATTTCTGTTCCTGTAATCTCTTTCAGAAAAGTTCCTGAAAATGAAATGGAAGAGAGGGCTTTGCCAGAACCTGAAGAGGAAGTGAAAGAGGAAGAGGAAGTGAAAGAGGTCGACCTGGATGACCTCACAGAGAGAATTATGCGGGAATACATTTTTTTTACGGAAGAAATGGATGAAGAGGAACAGCTCATTAAGAGTTTGGAGTATGAAAAGGAAAAGTTGTAAGTTTCTTGTGCACAATGATGAATTTCATTTCTTCACAGTTTCCGATCTGTGGGAACCGACGACAGTGTTTTGACCCTATTTTTGCTTTGTGTGTGTTTGTGCAGACAAGAGAGGTTGAACCAGAGGGACAAGGAGATGCAGAAAATGGCTCTCCTCATTAAACAAGAGGAAGATAAACCAGAAAATATAAAAAGCCAACTGAGTAGTGAGGATTCGGGCGTCATCACTAGAAGACTGAGAGTAAGTGCACAACGTGTCCCATCACACACAGACTGTACGGCTGATCTGTCATACGTGATCTCATAACTCATGCTTTTGTCTCGCCAGGTCAAATGGTACTGTGAGAAGTTGACGGACGTTTACATGGAGATCTTTGAGCGTTCCTGCAGCCTTCATTTTCCAAGTCTTATCCTGGTAGACCTTGATGAATTGACTTCAAACTTGTTGGAAAACATGACAGATGAAGCACACGTCAAACTACTAAACCAGTTTTGGAAACACAAAGCCATGAAGTAAATATATAAATACATGCCTTCACGACACAAAGTGATAAAGCTACTGTGATGATCATTTTATGGTTTGATAAAACTGAGCTCTTGCTAATTTAACTCTTGCTTTCTCTCTATCACAGTGGCAGGATGGAGAGTGAGGCTAAGATGAAAGCACGGCGAGAGAGACGGATACAGGAAAGACGGGAGATTGCTCTTGCTCCTCCAGTGAAAATAGTAGGTGGCACACAGAACCTGCACTACTTCCCTCACACGTGTGTCTTGCTCATTAATATTTGAATATGAATCAATAGTGTGATGCTGACTTAAAAATCACATCTCTATTGCAGGTGGGAAAAAAGCTGATGCCACGCATGCTGCCTTCAAAGAAGATTGAGAAAAAGGAACAGGATGAACCCAAGAAGCAGGAGTCGAATGTACACTGCCTTCCCTACTAGACTACAAGAAGAACAGACAGGAGACGGAGGGAGGAAGGAAGGAAGGGGGGTTTGTTTATGTTGTGTTCTTTATATTAGATTCTCATGAACCCATTAAATAATATATCAGTGCATTTCTAGTAGATATTGAAATTGAATATGTAATGTAATATGTAACCACACACCCCACACGCACACAAACACCGTAACACACACCCACACGCACATCTTGCTATTAGTGAACAAAACTATTAGAACTATTAAAGCTATTAGTGAACTAAAACAATTTCTAAAGCTAGGTCTTCTAAACATTAAATCGCTCACACCTAAAGCGGTTATTGTAAATGAAATGGTCACAGATAATAATTTCGATGTTCTGTGCCTTACTGAAACCTGGCTTAAAGCAAATGATGATTTCGGTCTAAATGAGTCTACTCCGCCCCGTCTGATCGGTCGTGGTTAGCATGTGGTAAGCATTTTCACATTTAGTTTCGAAGCTCTGGAATAGCCTTCCTGATATCAGTTTAAAACTACTTTAAAACTAGACTAAAGACGCATTTATTTAGCCAGGCGTTCATATACATTTTTTTATCTTACAGTTATTGTAAATTTGGCCTCTAGTTCATAAACGCCAGAGGAGAACTGGCCGCCGACTGAGCCTGGGTTCTCCCAAAGTGTGTTTTTTTTCTCCATCGGGTCACCTGGTGGAGTTTTCCGGTTCCTTGCCACTGTTGCCTTTGACTTGCTCAGTTATTCAAATTAAACGACCTATCATAACTCTACCAAACTTGATTGTCTTTTTTTTTCATGAATAAACAAACACTGTTAAGTTGTCTTGATTGATACTGTGAAGCAGCTTTGATACAATCTGTATTGTGAAAAGCGCTATATAAATATATTTGACTTGACTTGACACGCACACACTGCACAGGTCAAATAGACCTATATTCAGTCTGTCCAATCAATGGCTGATACAACACAGTTTCCCACCATTTTAAAAAAATTCTAAAAATTATCATTGATTGTTTCAAAGTGATACTAATGATGACACATGATTTGGATATTGAAAAATTTGGGATTAAAAGGTTTAAATGATATATTATTGAGAAAGTATTTTTGATTAAACGTAATACATTTTTCATATGTATTCTCTCGTTATTTCATCTGACTCCATAAATGAAAAGGTTTTAAATAAAATCTGCACATCATTAAATATAAGTTAAACGTTTGATTGTTCCTTTTAACTCTAATGATATAATATCAAAGTCAGTTAGAATCATCAAATGTAATAATTTTAGAGGTTTTGCACTTTACACAATATATTTATATAGTTTACTTATAATAATTGTATTTTTTGACTTTACATGTTTTTTTTCTATTAAGGTCTATGTAATTGTGTCTCAACTTGACAGTACAAAATCCTAATGTGTTGTCTAAACACAAACCATTAAAGTGTACGTCCAGAGGGTGGCAGTACACTGTAAAATAATATTTTCAAGATTTGTTATCACAACATTTTTTCTTTTGTCAAATCAACTTAAATAATTTATTTAGTTCAGGTAACTTATTATTTTGAGTTTCTGATGGTTAAATCAATCTCCTTCATTGTATTAACTCACTTTTTCTAGTTCAATCAACTTAAAATTTTAAGGCAACCAGGTTACTTACTTTTTTAAGTTAAACCAACAATATTTTTTTACAGTGTATAGTGCACCGAACTTAATTTTATTGTGTTCAATCTGCTTAAATCTACGAACAATTTAAGTTTACTTAATCTGTTTGTGTTGGACTACATGATTGATTTGTGTTGCCTGAACTGAAACTGGAAGTGCTTTTAGTTCCCAGCATGCTTTGCATATGGTTGAATTAACAGAGAATAAATGTTAAAATTAAGTGTTATTTTATGTTTTTTTTGAGAAATTTAGAAAAGGGGGAAGACTTGATAGTGTTTAATATTGTTTAATGTTAAATTACACTGGAATTTAAATTACAGTGGGCCTGTTGGGGAGAAAAGTGGAGCATTTTATTTGTCGACTGATTTCATAATTTTCTATTGCTTTGGATGAAGGAGCATGTAAATCTTAGCATTCATCTGCTAGCCAATAGCTCGCTATAGTCTATCAATTTAATTAAATGTCACTGAATCAAATGAAATATAAATGAATGAATATAATAAAATGCCTTTGAATCATGTCAGGAAGCCTTTAAAAATTCACGCTGATGAGACTAATCTATTATGTTGAAGTTACATGAACAAATTATTATTTAACGTAATCCAGTTATGTTGAACCTGTTGACAAATTAAAATTAATTAAAGCCAACATATAATTTTTTTTGAGTGGTAAATGTATCATCAGTTCAAAGATAATCAATACAAATCATCAAATGTTCAGGAATAAAGAGAAGACGAACTCGACATTTAAGGAATACATAAAGGTGATAGACTCGGACTCTGAGAAACAGAAAAGGGGCCCGAGCCTTCTGCTGCATTTCATTATATAGACAGACCCCATTTCGTTTGTAAACATGAGTTCACAGTGGAAATGTACCTTAAACACTGTCCCAGACTTACTGGGGGTGGAAGATGATTAGCATTAGCATTGAGCTAACACCTTCTGAGAGCAGGAGGGTTTAACCATCCACTCCATCTCTAAACTCTAAAAAGCCTTATTATTTTACTTATTTGGAAATAAGACATTTGTACCAGTTGCACTAAGACATTTTAAACGATACTAAACATGCATAATACTCGAAGATAATCATTTACATTAAACCATCCTTGTGTGAGTTTGGGTGATCTTGATGGGCTTCAAATGTTAATTTGCTTTGTTCTCTCAGAGAGTTGCGCTTTTTAAACATAAACATTTGAATCTACACATTAAATCTAAACATTTGTTACGTGTTAAACATTTGTTAAAAACATTTGTATTTATTTAAATTATACAATATATATATAAGTGTGTGTGATAGGTAAGTTTAGGGTTAGTGTAAGGGGACAGAATATACAGTTTGGACTGTAAAAAAACATCTATCTATGTAAACAACGTCTGGAGATCCCCACAAAGTAGTGAATCAGACTGTGTGTGTGCACACAACTGAAGCAGTATTTGGTAAACCAAATATTTAATGCATATTATGAAAAGACCACACAAGTCTTGAGCTTATCTAAGGTCAGTAACCAGCAGAACAGGCTGTTTCCCATCACACCATCAGCAGCAGCAACATTCACATGTCTTTCACCCAGTTCTTCTATAGCATATGGCGTTATCACAATCGACCAATGGGTGGCTACGAGGAGCAGGTTGATTAGCTGACGTCACGGACGCAGAGAGCGCGCTCAGTTGGGAGGAGGCTCGCGCACGAGAGCAATCCGCGTATTTGTGTGTCGTATAGGCCAGGGATGTGAGCGAGGGGCGACGATAATGGGGAATAACCGGGACCCCGGTGCTCTGGAGTGGACACAACGACTGGACGGTGATCATAAAGGGGGTTAACGTGAAGGTCAGCCATCTCTAGAGTGTTCAAAAACAGATTGATGGATTTTATTGGGCTAAATGATAGATTGATTGTCACTGGAGACGCTGAGGCAAGACAGTGATTAGAGCTGCTCATATAACCATACTGGAAACGATTTACCCATTTCAATGGCGTTACCATCGACCCAGAGCAAAACAGGTCACCCGGACCCAGGACTAACGCGGGTTCACCGGGTGTGAAGCGCTCAATCTGTCGTTTTTCCGGCGATGTCCGCGTCTTGCCTCGACCTGCGCAGCGCGATTTCAGCACCACCGCAGCTGGACAGCGACCGCATGGAACTCGCGCTCGATCCCGGCCGTCAAAGCTCGCCAGACACCGGGGAATATCAGACCCTCACGCTGATACACACCGCGCCCGGGGGGCTCGGCATGGCTTTGGAGGAGGAGCTGGCCATGCTCACCGGGGAACGGGAGGACGATCTGGAGGTATCCGCCTCAGAGACACCTGTGAGCGGACAGGACTCTGATCTACTGTCGCTCTTCCGGCAGAAAGAAAAGGACTTGGTCCTCGCTGCTAAACTGGGGAAAGCTCTACTTGAAAGAAACCAAGACCTCACAAAGCAATATGACAGAATTACCAAGGATTTAAACGACAAACTGGAGGTGAGGAGCTCTAAAACTCCACTAGATACACTGCCCAACAGTTTGCATAAACAAAAAGTCTGGAACTTAATAAGTCAAGTTGACATGCCATAAGTTCGGCTGTCAGATTCCTAAAGTTGTTTAGTTTTCTGCAGAATTCGGGTTTCACACACACAGACACACACACACACACACATACACTGAAAAAAAAATAATATGCTTTATCTAATCAATAAAATTGTGGCAACATATTACAAGCAATATTATTAATTAAATTGTTCAAATTAGAATTAATTAGAATATTAATTTGATTAACTATTACTCAATTCTAATTTGTTCAGTTTAATAAATAATATTGCTTGTAATCTGTTGCAATTTTATTGATTAGATCAATTCGTGTACAGAAACAATTGAAAACAGAAAATGAAAAGTAACCCCCCAAATATCAATAATCAAGTTACTATATTAATAAGAGTAAATTATTCATGATTACACATAACTATAAAAGTTAGTAGTTCTAATCTAAGTAATCTAATACTTTGTTTATCAGCAGTGCTGATTGATTTTGCATGCATGCGTTGTTTGTTTACATGGGTGTGCAGTCAGTCTGCTTTTCTAATTATTAATCAGGATGTATAAAAATATTAAAGAGCATGATGGAGCAAATCATTTAAATGACTTGAACACATTAGCGTGTAAAATTATTCCTCATGCTGAACTCCTGAAGAGTCACCAACTCCATCTGTATCTCAAGACAATTGCACAAATATCCACACATCTTAAATGCTAATTGTTTCTAAGACTCATAGTATTATCTAGTAATAATGTCTATGATAGTGCATTGTGAAAACACAAACACTCGAACCAGAGTTAACGGCATCCATACATGTCCAGACTGCGTTTACTATCACTGAATAGACCGTGCGAAGACGTTGACCGAGTTGAACCTAGTTCAGTCCTATATGGGCTTTTTCAGCGATGCTGCAAGCTAAGCTAATGTGCTTTGGCTCCGATCAGCTGGCCAGATCCTCGACAGGTTCCTGGCAGTTCTCCACGCACCTTTGACTTAAACCTCTCGCCTTAATCTACATCCTACAGTAGTTCAAACATACTTATATTTTCTGACAATCGCCCTTCGTTTGAGGAATCCTTATTTGTTCATATTAACACCCTCTTACAAAAGCAAGTAATCAGCATTGAAATGACTTCTACGGTTAGTTAGTTTGATAGCCTTCACAGTGGATTTCACGGGCTTTAATCAGTGCCAGATTTCATTTTCTGCAATTACAGCTAGTGCTCTCAGAGGTGCCCGGGACTGAACCTGCCTGACCCTCGCAAACCATCAAATCCACGTGTCTAACTAGCATTACAGCTTTTCTGCCCCACTTAGACAAGAAGAGACCATATGACCAACATGTAAGGCGACCAATCACACGCTGTCTGTTGCGTGCCGTTTAGGGCCAGGGTTATTTAAAATAGTTGATGCCACAAAAGCTTAGAACTAATAGGGTTAGAGCTAATACTGCTATATAATGATGGTGTTCATGCCATCATTTTTGTTTTATTGATTACTTTGTCTTGTTTTAATGCTGTATCACTTTTAAGTTTACTGTGTTTTTTCTTTTTTTATTAATCACCTAAAGGATTATTAGGAACACCACACTAATACTGTGTTTGACCCCCTTTCGCCTTAATTCTACGTGGCATTGATTCAACAAGGTGCTGAAAGCATTCTTTAGAAATGTCGGCCCATATTGATAGGATAGCATCTTGCAGTTGATGGAGATTTGTGGGATGCACATCTCCCGTTCCACCACATCCCAAAGATGCTCTATTGGGTTGAGATCTGGTGACTGTGGGGCCATTTTAGTACAGTCAACTCATTGTCATGTTCAAGAAACCAATTTGAAATGATTGGAGCTTTGTGACATGGTGCATTATCCTGCTGGAAGTAGCCATCAGAGGATGGGGACATGGTGGCCATAAAGGGATGGACATGCTCAGAAACAATGCTCAGGTAGGCCGTGGCATTTAAACCATGCCCAGTTGGCACTAAGGGGCCTAAAGTGTGCCAAGAAAACATCCCCCACACCATTACACCACCACCACCAGCCTGCACAGTGGGAACAAGGCATGATGGATCCATGTTCTCATTCTGTTTATGCCAAATTGGGACTCTAAATGGTAAATGGACTGCATTTATATAGCGCTTTCATAGACCTAATGGCCACCAAAGCGCTTTACATTTTGCCTCACATTCACCCATTCATACACCGACGGCGGTGTCAGTCAGCTCGTCGGGAGCAGCTGGGGTTAGGTTTGTAGACAACCCACATGAACCACTGAGCCACTGCCTGAACACACACTCTACCATCTGAATGTCTCAAAAGAAATCGAGACTCATCAGACCAGGCAACATTTTTCCAGTCTTCAACTGTCCAATTTTGGTGAGCTCTTGCAAATTGTCGCCTCTTTTTCCTATTTGTAGTGGAGATGAGTGGTACCCTGTGGGGTCTTCTGCTGTTGTAGCCCATCCGCCTCAAGGTTGTGTGTGTTGTGGCTTCACAAATGCTTTGCTGCATACCTCGGTTGTAACAAGTGGTTATTTCAGTCAAAGTTGCTCTTCTATCAGCTTGAATCAGTCGGCCCATTCTCCTCTGACCTCTCGCATTAACAAGGCATTTCCGCCCACAGGACTGCCGCATACTGGATGTTTTCCCTTTTCGCTCCATTCTTTGTAAACCCTAGAAATGGTTGTGAGTGAAAATCCCAGTGACAGCAGATTGTGAAATACTGTCTGGCACCAATATCCATGCCACGCTCAAAATTGCTTAAATCACCTTTCTTTCCCATTCTGACATTCAGTTTGGAGTTCAGGAGATTGTCTTGACCAGGACCACACCCCTAAATGCATTGAAGATTAGATATGATTGGTTGATTAGATAATTATATATATATATATACATATATAAAAGATTCTCAGAATGTACAAGTGAATTGTATGTTAAAAACTTGTGAATGGGAGCGTATCTCGTTCAGTTCTCAACTCAACTCATTCACAAAACATTCAGTTTTATTGCCTTGCTAGTTTATTTGCCACTCAGAGTCTTACAGAAAACCATATCTGTCAACGATTTGATCCAACCTGGCAAACTTTGGCAACTAGTTAATCAAATCCAGGAATTTAATTGGAATTTAAAAAGCATTTAATTGTAAATAAATGTCAGTGACCCTGTTTCTCTTCCAGCTCCTGGAGCAGGAGAAACATGAGCTGCGTCGTCGTTTGGAGAGTCGCGAGGGGGAATGGGAAGGCCGGGTGGCGGAACTGGAGACAGATGTGCAACACCTGCAGGGGGAGCTGGAGAGACATCAGGTGCAGCTGCGTGAGGCCGACCGGGACAAGAGCCGGGCCATCAGCGAGCTGTCAGAACAGAACCATCGGCTGCTGGAGCAGCTCAGCAGGGTGAGTGTGTGTGTATGTGTGTAGTCGCGCTAGCTAGTGTGTCTCTTGAGGCCAGGGGAGTGAGGTTTACACACACAGATCTTACTGGATGGTCTCTGTTAAGTGTACTCAAACGGGTGGAGATGCTGGCTGGAATTACAGGATGTAGTGCTAACAGTTTGCAATGGGTCAGAAGAGGGAAAACACTTGATGATGATGAAGGTGTGTTTTGAAAACTTGAAGCTGAGTTTAGTAATGGCAGGTTCTTTGTGCGACTCTTGTTCACAGACACATCTGAATTGTCATTGAGTCTCATTGATTTTGCCCCAGGATGGCTGTAGTGTTGTAGCAATGACGCAGGTCACACAACAATCACACCAGCGTCCTCCTGACAGACTGATGTTAATATTTTTAACGTTCAGATTGACTGCAGCTGTCCCTAACACTCACAATCACGCCTCATAATGTTTTAATGCTGTCAATCCTTGTCAATTTCATTTACTCCGACACACACACACAATACACACACTTCCTATTACCACATGGTTCTATTAATGTTCACACATAATGGCAGAAGAACTGATGATGATAAACTAATCAAGACTGGCAGCACATGGTCTTCCAGCTGAGGGCAATAACACCAGTAAAACCAGAACATGTTCTCAGAAAAGAATGAAAAGAGAATAAAGGCCCGTTCACACCAGGAACTATAGTAGTTCATTTTTTAGAAGTTAAAATGATAAATAAATTAATAAACAATAACTATTACTATACTAGCGTTCACACCAGCGGACTGTTTATTCTAAGCGCATACTCAAATTAGCTCAAACGTGCGGCGTAACACGAGAACGAACCCCATTGGTTCCCACTGAAGCTCAAACGTGCCGCGTAACACGAGAACGAACCTCATTGGTTCTTGCTGAAGCTCAAACGTGATGCGTAACACCGCCTTCACACTGGCAGTTTAATTCAGCTCCGTAATACGCAATACGTTCCCAACGGACGTCGTACTACACAGTGAAAAGCGTCGGACGCGGGTAGAACAAAAATGGCGGAGAGATTAAAGGTTGATTCTGTCAGTTCTGTATGATCTCTTATGCTGCGTGAGGAAAGTTGCTGAGGACGTTGACATGTCAGGTCGGCTAAAAAATGTGATTTAGTGGTCAATAGTTTAATGTCTACCTTCAATTTAATTGTATTAACTGCCCTTATAAACGTTAGAAAGTCGTGAAAATAAAAAAAATCACATGACAACTTATCGTTATAAAATCATTATTTCTTTTATTAAAAGTTAATAATTCAGGTTTGTTTATCAGTACCATAGCAACGGTCAACTTCCGCTGGAATTGTCGGATAGGAACCGTCCGTAGCTTTTCGCACGAGTTCAAATTTTTGAACGCATCCGGATGACCAACGGACACGATTTTCTTCGCACCGCACTCTGTCGGACCAGTTTCGGACTCATTGGTTCTTGCTGAAGCTCAAACGTGATGCGTAACACGAGAATGAACCTCATTGGCTCTTGCTGAAGCTCAAACGTGATGCGTAACACGAGAACGAACCTCATTGGCTCTTGCTGAAGCTCAAATGTGATGCGTAACATGAGAATGAACCTCATTGGCTCTTGCTGAAGCTCAAACTTGATGCGTAACACGAGAACGAACCTCATTGGCTTTCACTGAAGCTCAAACGTGATGCGTAACATGAGAATGAACCTCATTGGTTCTTAGCTCAAACTTCCTACAGAAAACGAGAAGGAAACTCATTGGCTCTTGAAAAATCTCAAACGTGTTGCGTAACACGAGAACGAACCTCATTGGTTTTTATATTAGAATGATTTAGTTCTGACATATATGAGCCTATAAATAGAAACACATTTCTTGTAGTAAAGGTAGTAGTCATGGTGTGGCCAGTTACCATCAGTAGTTCCCTGTTGTTTACAATTAGTTTAAGCAGTTAAACCCAGAAGCTCGTCGGCTGCTGATGGTGATGTTCTCTGAAGCAAGAAAGAGGCTCTGAATATGAGATAACTAGATGGGCTTGACAGATCTACTAATGGATCTCTTGCTGCAGAGTTCAGACTCAGATGACCTTCCTTCAGTGGGACAAGCAACAGGAAGTGACATAAGGCAGAGTGAGTCATGCATGAACTCAGGTGGGATTAGGGTTTAATCTAGATCCTCTTTCCTTTACCAACAGCATTAGGGATAGCCGACTGGAACAGAGCAAGAACAGTCTGCAGTTGCATATCTGACTGAAAGAAAATCACAAATGAGATCTGATTAATATCTCATAAATGTTTATTTAGGAAAACAGTCTCCTGCTTCTTACAGTAGATGTTTCGAGTTTCAGAAGAGAAAACTTTGCACTCAATATGAATTTTCTGCACTCTCAGAAAAGAAGGTACAAAAGCTGTCACTGGGGCTGTACCTTTTCAAAAGGTACACTTTTGCACCCAAAGGCTGCATATTGGTACCTTAGTTGTACATTTTAGCACTTAAAATGTACATATTAGCACCTAAAATGTACATATTAGCACCTAAATGTACAGATTAGCACCTAAAATGTACATATTAGCACCTAAATGTACATATTAGCACCTAAAATGTACATATTAGCACCTAAATGTACATATTAGCACCTAAAATGTACATATTAGCACCTAAATGTACATATTAGCACCTAAATGTACAGATTAGCACTTAAAATGTACATATTAGCACCTAAAATGTACATATTAGGACCTAAATGTACAGATTAACACCTAAAATGTTCATATTAGCACCTAAATGTACAGATTAGCACCTACAATGTTCATATTAGCTCCTGAAATGGACATATTAGCACCTAAAATGTACATATCAGAACCTAAAATGTACATATTAACACTTAAAATGTACATATTAGCACCTAAATGTACATATAGCACCTAAAATGGACAAAAGCTTACCTTTGGAAAAGGGACAGCATTGCATTTTTTATTATTTCTCTCAAGGATCTTTTAGGAGAAACAGTGATAACACTTTACAATAAGGTTTCATTTGTAAACATTAGTTAACATGAACTACACACTTCTAAAGCATTTATTTATCTTCATGTTAATTTCAGCATTTTAGTTTTAAATTTACTATTTAAAAATAGCGGGGTTATTCTGGATACTCCATCTAGCGCGTGCAATGATTACGCAGTGAATGGTGACGATTCTCTCTGACCAATCAGCAGTCGGCATTGTTTTTCCGTCGCATTTTAGTATCGCCTCAGCTCGCTCAGAACTTTTACACAGTGGGAAACCAAACCGAGTCGAGTCGAGCTGGTACTGTGCAGTGGAAAAGCTACATAAAGGACCTTACTGTAAAATGTTTTATTCTGGAGGGACAGTGGTAACTGAACTAGATAATGAAGTAGAGGTTGACAAGTAGGTAATGCCTAGCTAATACAGACAGCATTAATGCTTAGCTAATGTACTGGACATATTGTGTTGTGTTATTGGACAGATGCTTTCTGTTGCACACACACACACACACACACGTCTGTCTGCCAGTCCTAGAAGCAGGGGGTTGTCAAAAAAGAGAGGACCCCAGCAGCCTAATCTGATCAGTGAGAAGCATTTTACTAATTACATTACAAAGGTTTAGAGAGAGAGAGAGAGAGAGAGAGAGAGAGAGATGGACACCGAACAAAAATGGACCCACATTTCATTATCAAGATGGAGCGATTTTATAAATGATCCCATTGATTATATGTTCACTGGTTGGCTACATTGGAAATGAATGGCAAAGTAACATGGGTAACAGGTTGTGGGGTCAGACAGAGACTTTCTTCAGTTTCAGAGCTCCTTCTATGGTTAACCCTGCTGGGACGTCTTATCCCAAAAATAAACGATCACATTTGTCTAATTTTTCCTAACGATTTGCTATAGCTGCCCGCCCCATAAGCAGGCCGTCAAACGAGTCTCTGCAGGCAGCCTCGGCTCTCAAATCTGCACACACAAACATTGGGGTACAACCACTCGAAACCAAAATAAAAAGTGTTTCAACCAATCTAGGTCAAGCACAAAACCTCACAAAACCCGCCCCTGTCGGTGATTGGTTGGAACACTGTTTATTTTGGTTTTGCGTGGTGGTTGTACCGATTTGATTTTGTGTGCAGTGCAGATTTCAGAGCTGAGGCTACTTACAGAGAGGCGTTTTTTGACAGCCTGCTTATGGGGCGGGCAGCTAGCGGATCGTTAGGAAAAATTAGATGAATGTGATCATTTATTTTTGGGCCTAAAATCACCGACACAAACTTTAACCCTCAGGTGCTCTTCGTTTCGGAGTCACACTTGTTATCTTCCCGGTTAAAAGTGACCGGACACCTAAAAATTAAATTTCCTCCATCCCAGTAAAACCAATGCAATTTATTTTTTTTCTATAATATTTATTCTTTGTAATTTAGTATTTTGAGACAATTTGATTGAATTTATTAATATTTATGCACTATTTATGGTCTATTTTTGCCATGGAAAAATATATACATTTTTCTATATATATATATATATATATATATATATATATATATATATATATATAATTTTTTCAAAAAATTAATAATGCAGTATTTTAGTTTAATATAGAGTCTAGGCCTTCAGAAAAAAATATTTTTTGAAGAAAATTAGCACCATCTGGTTATAGTATAGAGAAAAAGCGTAGAATCATGGTGTAACCATTAGATGGCATGTACAGCTCTCTATGGAGAAGCATGTGTATTCCCCAGATGTTTATGAACACATTTGTTTTTGTTGGTGAATTTGAATATATAGTTGAAAAAATCTCAAAAACGATTTTTTTATTAAAAAAAAATGTAAAAAAAAAAAAAAAACAATTTTTGTGTTTTTGTCAATTTCCCATTCATTTCCTATGGGGGTCATTTTTGACCAAAGACCACAAGTGTGACTATTTTTTTTAAGACCACTATGCATGCTCAGATCATGACCTCATTTTTTTTTTGTGCGTTCACGTACATAATGCCATAAAAGTCAC